CAGCATTCACAAATTAAAATTGCCAAAGCAAGGCTGAAAAATACATAGGCCTACAACTAAATATGGCATGAAAAGTACAGTATTAAGTGTTGATTCACTTTGTATTCCATCCCATCTTTAAAAGTGTGGACCTGATGTGCACACATACCAAGCAAAGCTAGAAAAACATCTAAATGACAAATATAAAACATTATAAATGGTTTTGGCAGTTATCCTCATTTCTAAATGCAGACTGCAACATTCTTTCAAGAAGCGAGAAGCAGTCAAGACAGCTCTATAAAGGAAACCAAAAAGATTGTTTGCATCACTTACATGTTTGTAACTACCTAACAGTGGGGCATTATGGGAAAGATTCTATTCAACTTCCTTCACTAGTAACACAGGGGAATCACAGGGCATTATTGCCAATTGATTTGTGAATAAGGCTTGTCAATTATTGCAACCCTCGCTGATTCACTATCCACTGCTTTGGTGTTTATATTTCAGGCAGTTAATACATTTAAAATGCAAGATCGGTTCCATCATAGATTAACTTAAGGTACCACCATTTTGATAAGGCCTCATTTCCCTAGAGGTCATTCCCACTGCTGCAAACAGATTCAAGTGCTAAGAAGATAGCCAAGAACCCTTTGTGACTGTGCACAAATGGCCTAATATGCAGCCTCCCCTTGTCCATTTGTGTGACAAGGTCCATTTGTGAGGTCATCTTCTCCGCTTTGGCGCTTCCACTGGCAGCTGCAACTTACAAGGACACTGACCGAGCAAAAGTGTGCTCTTGTGAATGAGTGCGGGTCAAAGTGGCAAATGAAAAGAGTAGCCATCAGAGCAGGGAGGAAGCCATGGTAGGAAGACCAGAGAGGTTTTGTTGCACAGTTCCCTGTGATATGTGCTGGAGGGATAAGGAGGATTGGGAGAAACAAGCCATGTCAAGCCCAGTAATCTGTCAACCATACCATGGATGGTTTAGCACACAACTAGCCCACTGTAGCTTATCAACAGGGTAGCTTGGTATGATGTGTGAGCCCACATTAAGACTCCATTCAAGCCATCTTGTTCATTAATTATATTACATAATATTGGGTACTAAACACAGGCTATTGTCCAAATCAGCTTGAAAAACCAAACTTTGCTCTTACTACAAGTTAAAAGGAAGATGTTGGTAAATTAGAAAAAAACTTCAAAATAAATATCATGGTTGTTAAGTTTACTACCATACTTATCTTGGAAAACAATGAAACCCATTGCATTTTTCCCTCTCTTAAAATATTACTAGGTTATTGCATTGCCAGAGGGTAACTTTTATATTAATAATTGGGACATACCAAGACACGGTAAATATCATTGTGAATTCTGCGGCAAAACATTTTAAACTAGGAAAGCAGTGCCATAGATCAATAATTGTGGAGAGAATATGTCAGAAACATATAAAGGTAGGTAACCACAGAAGCGTAACTAATGGCCCACTATTTTCCATTTCCCACTATGGACTAGAAAGTTCACACTGAGAACAGTCCTGCTTAGTTCAGATTATTTATTCATTTCATTTCTACACTGCCCTACAGCAAAAGATATCTGGGCAGTTTACTGTAAAACAAGGTATTACAAATCTTGATTACCATACATCACAGGAAAATGTATATTAAGGCCTCAAATTAACCATTTCAAAAGGATGTATACACCCTGCAGGGAAACTTCAGTATTAAATTCTGTCAGTCATTACATGCCCAAGCACCAGAATAAGAACATGAGTTCTGCTGGATCAGACCAAGGGCACACTGAGTCCAGCATTCTGGTCACATAATGGGAAACATGCTGCCTCAGGATCCCAGAAACACAATAAATACAGTACAACAGCTCTCTCCTGCCCCCATGAATCCCAGCACCCGGTGTACATGGGCATATGCTTCTGATACCAGAAATATTTAACATGGTGATAACATGGGGGTGTTCCATGCTACTTGTAAAGAATGGACAATTAGTTTCTATTATACCACATCTATTACTGCTCCTAAGGCCCGCAGCTCCCATCAGCTCTTGCAAGCACAGACTTGGTGAGGCACTATTAGGGCTGCAGTCCAACATCTAGAGAACCACAAGTTGCCCACCGTTGCTGTATAAGAACAGGACTGCAAAAAGCATCCTTCATTTCACACGGAGTTAGACTACTAATAGCATTTATCCTCTTTGTGTATATGCAAAGAATAAAATTATAACTGCTCATTTACTCTTCTGGAAGTACACCCAACACCAAGATCCTAAGCAATTTTATTCAGATATTAGTCCCGTTATTGTAGTTGCAGGTTTTCAGGGATCCAGTGAATAGTTTGGGAACACTTGTACCTGCAGCATCACTAAAGCTAAGCAGGAGCAGACCTCAAGAATAACTTGCATGAAGATGACTGGGAGGTCTATACAAGAGCAGGATAGAATGTTTAAGTATTGTGTACACTCTTGACACAATTGTATGCTGAAGGGGTACCAACTATATTGTTTCCGACAGAGACCAACTTCAGTATAGAAAAGAGTGTACATTTATATTACCATCCGAGGTGATATGCATATAGTAAAAGAGAGAGACTTTGCACAGCACCATAAATACACAGGACACTTTCTTTCACAGAACTTGATTGTGAAGGAAATGGCAAAGGCTAAACAAGCATTTTGTTACGTGCTGTCAAGTCATCTTTCATTTATGTATTGTACTGTATTGCTTGTTTTTTGTTGTTGTATTTGCCTGCTAAACTTTATCGCATAGAGAAGTTTTATAGCAGGTGAGTCGGTTTAAATTGTAGTATGTTGCATATTTTAATTACCTTTTGAAGGCCATTTTGAGAACATCAAATGGTAGAGAAATTATCAAAATAAATTTATGGCAATCCTATGAATGCCTTCCAAAGTGTCTTGTCCTTGAAAACCCTGCTCAGCTCATGTAAGCGCAAGGCTGCGGCTTCCTTTATGGAACTGAGCCATTGAAACATGCTTATTGAACATAAATAAATGTCTACCTGGGCTCTCAATACCAACAAAATTTCCAACAACAAATAGGTAATGCAAAGGAACTAGTCCCAACTATCCATTTCTACAGTGAACACACTAACCAGACAGCTTTCCCCAACCTGGTCCCCTACATATGTGACTACAACTCCCATAAGCCCCAGAAAGCATGGAAAAGGCTGACCTATACAATTACCTATCCAACATCAAAGATAGTGGATAATAAATTTATCTACTTTGTGGAAGAACGGGCAGGACAATGCAAGCCATTCCTTTGCAATAATACACCATTGTCTGACCTTGGAAATGAAAACCTGCTAAAAGACTATTAATAAGACAACCTCAAAGAGATTTATGTAACAATAAAATGAAGAATTTCAAAGAACTCTACTTTCAACCCAGATTTAATGAGACATCATCATTTACCCCCCAGCATCTAACACAGTTACAGGTATGTTAGTAGAAACTTTTTATTGTTTGAATAACCCAGCCTGTCTTATAAACTATCGCTGGGATGCTTGGGCTCCAAATTAAATTATGGGGGCAAAGGGCAGGGAGGGAGTTTCTCAATAGTAGCTTTTATTTCTGGAATGTACTTTGTTAGCCTGCAAAGGGCCCCTTTTGCTTAGCCTTAGGGCAGTAAGCAGTTTTCAGTATTCGATATTCAACAAGCCAAGCCTCTTTATTAGGGGTGGGGTGTCAATTTATATTGCTAAAGATTTCAAGCAGGTTTCAGTTTGCCTCAAGCATTTCAGCAGGGGCGTCCATTATGTGGAACCAACTTTAGTGAAGTTTCACTAAGAGTGATAAACTGGGCTGAAATCCTGAGGGAATTTTGGTTGCACAAGCGAAAGTGATCCAATTCAACCTGGGACAACATCTAACCAAGATTACATCATCATACTTGAAAAGGGCAAACTCACACAGAAATTGCTTAGTTCAGAAGATTCACCACCTTGGCTTTCTTTAAGTAACCCCCAGAGCCAAACTTTGACCTATACCCAGATCATTTCTTCCCATTTACCAAGCGTTCGTATCCATTAGATCCCAGCTAACAAAGTAAAGTATTCATACCTCAACAGCACGATCTTTCAAACTTCAAAGAAAAGAAAGTGAAAAGCAAGCATCAGCACTCATGACCTGTTACCAGGTGAAGAACCACCTGAGATTACCTAGAGCAATAGCAAACCCCCAAAGTCCGTGCTTTTTATGATTCCAAAGCAACACAGCCGGACAAGTGGTATCACAACTGAAACAGGTACAGAAACAAACACCTCTGAAATACTACAAAAGGTACTAATCATCAGCATCACTCCCTGAGCAGAATTAGACCCCAAAGTTGGCAACCCCCCAGCTGACCTGGCCCAAGTCAAATGCCCCATGCATCTCCCACCAACGGGAGGAAAAAACTGCCTCATATTCCCCAGAATGCCCGTCCCTCCTCAAACTTTTCACACCTTTACTCTCAGACCCAAATCACCTATCAGGTAATAGCCCCCGAGACAGCACTGCCCCCGCTTCGGTCAGCCCCTCTCCATCCGTCCGTCACTCCTCCAGCCCACTGTAATGTCCCCGGCAAAGCCCCAATTTAATTTCACCCTAACTAGGGCAAGCCCCCCCCCGTTCTTCACTCCAGCCACCACCAGTAGCTACCCTTCATGACACTCGCCAACCCTCCCTTTATAACGTGCCCCTTATTTCTAGACCCCACGGCCAAGCGTGGCGGGCAGGTCAGAAGAGCTCAGCCCCTTTCCTCCCAGCCGCAAGCTCACCTTCCAGCATGGAGACAACCCTTAACCCCGCCCCCACATCCGTTCGGACCAGCGCTTTTCGCCTTTTCTTTCTTTCTTTCTTTCTCTTCCTCCACCCGGGCCAAGCCTCTTTACCTGCCAATGTGCCCCCGCCTTCACAGCCCCCCTCGCCGCGGATCTGCAGCCCCAGCCCGGCTTCCCCGCCCAGGCCGCGCATCCACCACGGGTGGGAGCAAAGAGCCGCACTTGTCTTACCGTGCAGCGTCCCCCGGCGCGCCCCAACTCCTCCTCGCGCCGCCGCCTCTCCTTCCTGGATACCTCCGGGAGGAGGCGTGCTTGCCAGATATGCAAATATGAAAAGGGGCGTGGCCAGCACGGCGCCTTTCTTTCGGCCGCACCGCCGCTCGTGAATAATTCATCGCTCTCACCGCTGGCCCTCCCAGCCAATCGAGACTGAGAGAACCTTCTCCGGCACAACCTTCTTACCTTGCATCCGGCCAATCGCAAAGGGAAAGGTTAGTCGGGTGGGGTAGGATCCAGATCAAAGAAAGCTAATTACAGTATGACTATGAATGGTTTTTGAAGGCGCCCTGGTCACGCCCCACATCCGCCGAGTTCTGGCCGTACCTATCTTTTTCCGGTAGGGGACACGGTGTGCAAGGCGAGCACAGAGGGAACGGAATAAATACTATGATGGGTGGATCTAATAAACGAGGTCACTCAAGACTGACTCTGGAGTGCTTAAAATAGGTTGTTGTTCTGTCTTATTTCATAGCAAGCTGAAGCTGCCTCTTAAGAGTAAAAGTTAAATACTGCAGTTCATCAGCGATTATCTACATTCGCTGATGTCCTTCTGGAGCGGCGCGGGGAGGGAGGCTGTCAGAACAATAGCGCATGTTTCGTATTCTAGCAGGCCAGCAGAGTCGGCAAGGAAATGTTGGCAGGGAAAAGTAAGGGGGTTCTCCGTCACATGGCGCGAAAGTTATAGGATCATGAACACAGCGCTGGGCTTGGTCCCGGCTTTCGGGAAACCTGAATTCGAACTCGAATTCTCGATTTGGCCCCGCCTTCCGCCTAAACTTTAGTTCTTTCTTATCTTTATAAATAAAGACAGTCGCCTTTTAATTTAAGGGTTAATGTTCATGGCAAGAGGTCAAGAGTCAAAAGTCATTTGTGTCTAGTTACAGCGTTCCCCAAATTAGTGCCGTCCAGCTGTAGTGCTTAGTGTCCTACAGTGCCCATCATCCACAGCTATCACGGTTGCTGGAGGTGATGGGGATCATTGTCAAAGTAAACCTGGAGGGCTTGAGGAAGAATTGTCTAATACACCTGCATTTCCATGCACAATACTTGAAATAGTTTACGGAGGCAAAGCCCTGTTACAGCAAGAATACATTTTAATTTAATTGTATTCCACCTGTTCCAAATACTGGGAAATAAATTTGCTTGCCTTCATAGTGTTGCAGGACTCCGTCAGCTTTGCTGAAAGTAGACTTTCAGTTTGCTGTGGTGAAAGCACCAGATGTGTTATCTAACCAGGAACTAAAAAGTGATAAACAAGCTCTGAATGCACCTTAAAGCTACAATTGAACAAAGGCGTTTAAGAAAAAGTGTGCCGTGCCGTAAATGTGCAGTCCTAATATAACTACCAGGAAGTAACACACACAAAACTCAGTGGGATTTACTCCTGTGCAAACATGTTTAAGGTCAGGGCCCAAGGCTTAGAAAAAGGCATAAGCTAAACCATTTGTTTAACATGATTGAGATATTGTGTTTTGAGGGTATTTTTTAAACACATCAATTCTAATTAGTAGCAATAGAATGTAAACCCCACTTTCAAGTCATGTTTACCATTAAAATTAAGGAACAGCTTCTGGGGTAAAGGCATTTTTAAATAGGGTTGCACTGAAAAAATAATGCCAACTGGTATATTCTCCCACACCTTATAAAGGATAAAGAATATATAATTAAAAACCCAATTCCTTCCTTCCAGGCCATAGTGCAGCAAACAGGTTGCTTTGTTGGTTGTATTGCATGAAGTTATGGTTTGTGATAAGATCATAATATAAGACAGACACTGGGCCCACTAAAAGAAGACCTGGGCAAAGCAGGAATTAAAATGAGCAAACTGATTTACTTTCAGCGTATTTATGGAAACTGCAAATTTAACCTTGGGGGATTTCTTGCCTCTTTCACCGTTCTTCTTTTCTGTTTCTTCTTCCACAGCAAACTGCTCTGCCACTGATTAGTTAGAAGGAAGATTGAAGCAAAGACTAGAGAGCAACCTTGCCTCAGTCACCTTTTGGAAACCGTTACCTGCAACAGGCAACTGGAAGTTCCAGAATTGCTACATCAGGTGTTGTTTTCCCGGTTTCATTAGAGGTTTGACCATGTCCCTGAGGGAAAGCAAAAAGCGTCACCAGTGTCATTGTCACCAAATTGGAGACTGATTAGCATTTAGTTTGGTAAAAAGGCTAGGATGTTAGGAGCTCCAGCAGGACCAATGCAGAGAAGTGGGAATACATATCCTATGATCCTTTTTTTTTTCTTCAGCTTCATCATCTTGCTGTGTTGTCAGAAAACTGATCCTCAGACAACCTGGCATAGCTTTCTCCAACCTCATGCCCTGCAGATGGGTTGGCCATACTGACTGGGAATGATGGGAGTTGCAGTCCAAATGGACTGGAGGGTACCAAGCTGTTCAGAGTCTGAGATGACTTTGTTTAAGTGTGTGTGTGAGGGGGAATTATGAATAGTGATGATGCCTATGCTATTTTGCAGTGATTAGCAAATATACACACAGATTTACATGCTCTTATGTGCACACATAATGGCCTGAAGCTGCGAGCTGGGGAGGGGAGAAGGAAACAGTGACAGTCTTGATGTTGCCATCATGAAAATACAACCTGTGCTCCAGATTGGATATCTGATGAAATACAGAACTCATCCCAGCTAAACTGACTGTCTCACGGGATGGTACTGGGCAAGTAAGTTCTGCTCAGCACCAATTTCCTCCTGTAAAATGGGCATATTAATAAACTTCGCCAGATGTGAATTAAATCCATACTATAAAATTATTTGCACACTGAGCTGTTTTGCTTCATGACCTAGCCATGGTGGTCTTGACTCTTTGCTCCAGAGACAATGTCTTTGGAAGGGACATCATTATCTTACATTAGTAGAAAGGTACCCTCAGTTAATACAATTCTATTTATTCAGAATCAGAAGTCGGTCCCAACTGAATTTTGTGTGTCTTAGGCCCATGCACAGTATTACATCCTTCCAGTGTAAGCCCATGCACTTTAATTCAAAAGTAAATCCCATTAAAATCAATATCATATTATGTAGGATCATAACTTCAGGCACCAGCCCTGTACTCACTCGGGAGTTAGTGCCATTGAATTCAATGGGACTTATTTTTGATAAGGCATGTATAGAATTGCCCTCTTAGTCCTTGTTCACCATCACACTTTCCCTTCCTCTTTTTTCTCGAATTTTCATGCAGTTGTCCACAAGTACTCATTTGTTTGTGCTATAAAACAGGGAGGTTGTGGGTGAGAGGCATAATTTTGAAAGACATTGTATGCTGGAAAGATGAGAGTATATTATTATTCAGAAATGAACTATATGTTTTAAGAGAAATATCATTTTCAATTTTTTACAGGACATAATTCAGTGTCTGGGACAACTTTTGCAAATTTAAGAGATTCAGAAAAACACAAACTTTACCAGTTTGGATTCTCTTATGCATTACTCTAAAACGTTAAGGCACCCCCCTCCCCCATTTGCAGCCCTGTAACATTGATATCCTTAGGACTCTAAAAATGCACTAGTAAGCTGATATAGGCTGAAATCTACACTTAAACTCACAGCTGTGCTGATTTCCAGAGTTCTTCCAAATACAGCCAGGAAGCCTTTAAGCCACTCTGAACTGCACTGGCCTCTCTTCTAAGTTTACTCTTAGTGACTGCCCAGCAATATCAAGTGCCAATTTTCAAGCACAGAATGGATAAATTTAAATTGTGGTGATTTATTTCTCTAATTTAATTCATTATTCAAACCAGTGCATTTCCCACTGAAACTTTTTCATGAGGAATGCTGCAACTCTAACCACTAAACTACTTTAAATGACAGTTTAATAGTGTCATTAATTAAACAGAGTTTTATTTAGTTTAATTACTATCAGCAGGCTTTGCATCTCTTTGTCTCACTTTACATGGGTGTATATATTCTGCACACACAATATATGTGTGTATATTCTGCACACTTTTCTTTTTTACCTATAGAGGAAATGTCTATAAAATATTCTGATACAGGGAGTTTCTTATGACCAGCACTGTGACTGTGGTAAAGAGCACAGTACATGTTACTTCATAAAGAACTCCCACCGAGTTCAATAAGGCCTACTTCCAGGTAAGTGGTTAAGGACTGCAACCTATCCAGACAAATGCACACTGGCTGCTTTTGTCTTTTTCATTCCAGTGTTGCTCCTTTCTGCTTCTCACCCTCACAAAATCTAAGCAGAAAACAAAAATGAAGTCTCTCTGTGTAACAGGTCAAAGCACGGTTTGATAGATGCTACAATAGTTTCATAGAATCACAGAACAGCAGAGTTGGAAGGGTCCATGAAGGCCACCGGGTCCAACCTCCTGATGGTGCAGGACACCAAGTCACACCATCCTACTCAGATTTCTGTCCAGTTTCCCCTTGAATGCCTCTAGTGTGGGAGAGCCCACCCCCTCTCTAGGCAGCTGGTTCCACTGTCATTTTGCTCTGACAGTGAGGAAACTTCTCCTGATGTCCAGCCTGAATCTGGGTTGTTGCAACTTGAATTGATTATCCCGTGTCCTACACTCTTGGTATCAGTGAGAAGAGATCTTGACCTTCCTCTTTGTGACAGCCTTTGAGGTACTTATAGAGGGATATCATGTCCCCCCTCAGTCTTCTCTTCTCAAAGCTGAACATGCCAAGTTCTCTCAGTCTTTCCTCATAGGACAGCGTTTCCAAACCCTGGATTGTTTTTCTTGCCTTCCTCTGGACCCTTTCTGATTTTTCTGCATCTTTCTTAAAGTGCCTAGAACTGGACAAAATATTCTAGATGAGGTCCGGATAGTGAAGACTATGGGGAACTGCTACTTCTCATGATTTTTTTCACTTGGGTAATGTAAGTATTCAAATATGAAAATGATCAGATTGGTTCTTCATTTGGATAGAAAAGTCTCCTTTAACTCCATGGTAGAGGCCTTGGTGCATTTTAAATATTAAGTTCACAGGCCTACAGTCCCTGCCCTCTATGCAGATGAGCCTATGAATTCATGAGGCTTTTAGGAGTTATTTTTATGAACCAAAACTAAAACAAATGCCCATGCCTGACTGAATTTCCTACCAAAGAGTAGAATGTGACAGTGCCTTTCATTCATTTTTATGAGGATGTAAGTATAGGCTTAACATGTTTATGAGATTTAATTGTAACTACATTGTTTTCATATGAAATATATTTATGATTTATTTCTAAAAATAAAATATAATTAAAATGTTTATATTTTCCCACCAAATCATCTGTTGTTAATTACACTGATTCAAGGAAGAAGAAACATCTGACCTGCTTTGGGTGTAACCAGAAGCCATCAGGAGTAAATCTCCTTGTGGGATTTTTTTGTTGCAGCAGCTGCCCCAGTTTGGAATATGCAGGCTGCAGCCAGGGCACCCCATAGCTGCTGCTTATATGAGAACCCAGGGAGGTTGCTGGAGTGGTTAACCTGCTCCTCAGAACCCATGAGCTGTTTAGGGTTGTGGGTGGCTTATCAACCAAAGGTGCGTGAATAGGATCTGTGGATTACAAGTTGACAAAGTATAAGGGTCTTTTATTCAGGAGAGCTCCTTCTTTCATGCTGAGTCTTTAGTCACCCAGAGAGTCCAATCTGAGATCATGTAGAGGAGCAAGCGTGGTTGGAAAGCAACAGCAACTCTGCAGGAAAATAATCTTGTCTCACTCCTAATGCTTTTCAAGGGAATGGTGTCTTCACAAATAAAGTAGCTGGATCTGTTTATCTCTTTACAGTCATAATCAAGAAGTTCCTTAAGGCAGGTTTACTGCATTCACTTCAGAGTTGTTATCAACCAAAATTTATTATGCATGGGACCAGTAGATTTAATCCGCTTACCAATCTCTGAAGAGAAAATGTTCTACTTGACATGTGTTGAGACTAAGAGATCCTGATTTCATTTCTATCAATGAAACAGAGTTCATGGCATGGTGCTTTCAGAGGCTTTCTCTTCTGTCTGAAGCACCCCTTCCCCATCAAAGTCCTGGAGCTTGGAGAGCCTTTGGAACAGAATGCAGACAGATGTGTGGGGAGTGCAGATGGAAGGAACCCACCACCCCTGCTTAAGGGAGGAGCAATGGAGGAATAACCATACAGTTGGAGGAGGCCTAAAAGGCCATTGGGTCCAACCCTCTGCTCACTGAAGGACTCAAGTCTCCCATCTAGATTCCACCTAGGTCTGACCCTGCTTAGCTTCCACGATTAGGCAGGATCAGGCACTTCAGGCTACAGTGGTACCTTGGCTCACGAACTTAATCCGTTCCACAACTCTGGTTGTGGCCCAAATTGGATGTGACCCAAGTCAAATTTCCCCATAAGGTTCTATGTAAATATGGTTAATCCGGTCTGTAACTTTTTTTATCAGAAAAAAATGAAACAGAACAAAGTACTGTACAGTACAGTGGAGAACACTAACCTAGGTGTGGGGAGGAGGTTATTGTTTTGAGGGAGAGTCCCCCCCCCATAAGGACATTGGGGAGACCTCTTTCAGGGGTTTCCTCTCTTTGTCTCTTAGCTGCAGGGTCAATTTTGGTGAAAAATCTGTCTATAGTCACTTGTTTTTTCCTGCGCTGCATAACCCTCCGGAAATGAGACCACGTTATTGTTCATCAGATTCAACACCCCGTTCGTTAGTTATGTTGGGGTGGTGCTTCTCAAAGAAATCCTGGCACTCATTCCATTTTTTCATAATGGATTGTATCACATCACTGCTAACCTCCTCCCTGTCTTCCTCTTCCTCAGTGGAATCCTCCTCAGCAAGTGCCTCCTGCTGCTCACTCTGGAGTTCAGCAAGTTCTTCTGTCATCCGCTCCTCTATGTCTTCCCTGCATGAACGCAGCTGCAATCGTGGCCATCTCCCCAATCGGGGGTGGGGAGATGGCCGCAATCTTGGTTGCCACCCAATGCGGAGTTCGTGACCCAAGTCAAAATGTTCATGAAATTTTTGTTCGAGACCCGATTTGGTTGTGAACCAAGGTGTTTGTGAGCCGAGGCACCTCTGTATATGGAAGTGGACTGGGAACAAGGTCCTTGTCTTTTTCTGTACACGTTATTTGCCTGCCTGTGTTCCTCCTGCTGTTTGGCTCCCTTTGGTTTCCAGTAAGGCTGACTGACTGGTTTGGCTACTGGGACAGGGGATAGTGTTGCGAACTCAGGCAGTTAGATCAGTTCAAGGATAAAGGAGTTTGCCTTTGCAGAGAAGGAGGTGAGCCTTACCATGCTGGGGAAAGAGGTGAAGGGCAAAGAGGATGAAAATGATCGGAGGCACCATAGACTGAACAGGGAGAGCATTTAACTTCTCTTTCTAAATGAGTACCCGAGTATTAAGAACTGATACAATGAAGTGTCCCCAAAGGAAACCAGCTACAACCTCTGCATCCCTAGAGAAGCACTCAAGATATGCTCAAGCAACACATAGTCAAGATGTGGCCAAGCTTTGGCCAAGGCTCCGATTCTATGCACCCATGTTGGATTAAACTCCAGGTGTTCATCCCTTGGCAACTGAGTTCTGGGTTCAAATGTCACCAAAACAACCAAGGAAGAGGGTGCCCCTGGACTGTTTGTCATGGTGTAAGTAAGTGTTCATGTGAGAACTAGAACACATGCTTGCTCCTACTGCATTCCCTATAACCCACGGTTTCTTAACCATGGTGGATTGCTGCCAGTGTGTGAACTGGGTCAGTGAACAGTACAGTGGCATCCTAGTAAGCTATATAGGCAAGGAATATGTTACAGAAGCCAAGCGTTCAGATGGGTGAAACAAATGTTAGAATACTGGGAAGGGGCTATTGCTTAATGTTGACATCATGTAAACATGAGCTTATGTTTGGATGATTCCCATTTCTATTAAGGCACACACTCAGGCCAACTTGGTCAGTCTTTATTCCATATGGAAACTAATGGGAAATGAAGGCACCTTGGCTTATACCTCAAACTCCTCATATTCCAAGTAAGCCTCATCGAGGAACATTAGCAGACAAACTTGTTACTGCCTAATAATTCTTGTTCCTCTACAGTGTTGGAAAATACATGTGGTGCATTCAGGAATATTTTGGATTTTGCTAACAAATTTGAATATTTAGCATTTGCTAACAAATGAGGACAGTAGCAAACAGCAAACCCTTCACGAAGTAAGAAAGCCCTAAAGTAACTGACATGAATATATAATTGACACCACTCACAGTTTACCCCAGAGAAACATATATGATAGCACCCTAAAAGACCACATAACACCCACTGCATTAATACAATAAACTGTATTTTATTGCTTTAGCATCTTAGTCTCAAATTATCAGCCGAGGCGTACTAAAATAAAACTGCCCCTAAAATTTCTCTGTAAAATTCTTCATGGAAGTTATTCCTTAACAGAAAAAAACTCCAGTCCTTTTTATCTTGACAACACTGCCTGGTCCAACTACCATGGCAATATCACAGTAAAGAAAGTGAGAAAGCTGGTATCTGAAAAAGGCTTCAAACGTTATAAATAAACCTGGTAATACAGATGATGATTCTCAACAAGGAATATCAACCAGGAGAGATGCTGGAAAGCAAGAGCAGATCATGGCAGACTATGATGATCTGAGCATAAAATAATTCAGGTCTGCTAAATATATGGAACTGCTCAGAAGAAAAAGGTATACATCTGTGGATTCTGCAGATACTCTGTATTTTAGTTTCCTTTCCTGCAGCAGAATGAAAGAAAAAAAAACCACACAACTGATGGTCTATGAGCCATTGATTGGCTGTACTTGAAGCAACCATAATGTAATAGTGACGGCTTCTTCCTGGGCTCTGCAACTTGGTAGACCACGAGGCACCATTCTGGATTGGCAGAAGCATAATGGTGCTTTTTCTATAGGTCCCTAAGAATAGAAAACCAATCAGGCTCAAATTTGGGAGCATATTAAGTTTGGGATTAAATGAACAGTTGCGTCTTTGTCCAGGAAATACCGTGTGTATGTATTTCAACTAGGGCTATAGAGATGCTGTTAAATGTACTCTCTCTCTTTGGTGCACTGTCAGCTCCCTTTTGTTTCATTGTCTACTCATTGATGATACTGCACAAATTGTTTCATATGCATTTGTGCAAACTGAAACAGTGCAAACTGCATATTGTGAAAAATGTGCAAATCCTTCCAAATGCATGTCTTCATGCTTTAGCCTATGAGGGAAGTGCTCATTTTTGGTAAAATCAAAAAATGGTCTGCAAGTCCACATAACTTGAGAAGAGCTGATCTGCTGCAGAATCCACAGGTCAGAAATCTGAACTTATTTAAGCATGTTGAGAATTTTTCCAACACCCCTAATTTGAACTGCTCTTTGTTTTTGTGCATAGGCGGGTTCCTGTTGCATGGAATTAGTACAGGGTTAGTAGTTGGAGATTTAATGTATTATCCAGATGAACAAAGCAGAAGTCCTGAGTAAAATTTTGTATAAATGCATACCAGTCCCAAATTTCAGCAGCAAGGTCAAGGATATACATCAGTTGGCAGCTTGAGCTCCTTAAACGAGTAGAAGGCAATGTCTCCATTGTCTACTAGTGCAAAGACCACAGGGACGTCTCCACTTTGGTAAGTAAGCTGCTTCACTGCCCTGAGGGATGGGATCTGTTCATCAAACCTACAACGAGGAAAAATGCTTATCTTTATCCACAGTGAATGCACTACATTATCTAAAAGGCCACATGCATCCTGGGGCAGTATCACTTGGAAACAGGTCAGGGGACTTGTGTTCTCATGATCTAGTTGTCTGGTAGCAAAATCTTAGTTCCGTGTGCATGCTTTAAAAGCAGTGGGTTTCAAGTCCCAGTGGTTAGAGAGGACTCTGTGTATACCTCCAGCACTGTAGCCCTTTGAGGACTAGAGCTTTCAGTGGCTGGGACTGGTAGGGATCCCAAAATCCCAGCAGGTGGAGGGGACGGGGGCATGCAAGGTTCCTTCAGAACCAACAGCACTCCACCCTTCCACGGCCACATATGAAGAGGTTTCTGGGAACGCAATCCTGCTTTCAAACAAGGCACATACTCCCTACCTTTTTCAAGTCAAATGGCTTTTTTGACAGCTGCTCAGTGTCATCTCAGCAGTAGCTCAAGGCTGCATGAACCCAGTGTTACCCCAACAACCTGCTGGGTCTCTGCCCCAATCAAAGAGTGTCACTAGCAAGATAGGATTTGTGTGTCTCTTAAGGTTCTTCCCTTTCCAAACAGAAGCTAAGGATTTGTGTGTCTCTTAAGGTTCTTCCCTTTCCAAACAGAAGCTAAGGATTTGTGTGTCTCTTAAGGTTCCTCCCTTTCCAAACAGAAGCTAATATATAACAGAGTATGTAGATGAATGCCCATGGGCAGTAGGAAGTTGCCCAGATGGCATGGTATCTACTACTCCATTTCCCCACTGTAAACATTTCCTCCAGGTACACCAAGCTGTTGAGGCTATATTTGTTGTAAAAAGCCACACTGAGTGCAACACACAAAAGCTAAAACACTTTCAACTTTGAATGAAGGAGGTGGCAGCTCCTCTGTTAGCTGGCTTACAAGAGAAATTCCACACCAGGTTAAGATAGGCAGTTCTGCTAAATGATGAATCGAAGGAGTGCCTCATTACCTGCGAACACACATCCGGACACAAGGCCTCCCAGGGTCATTCTTCTTAAAGCTCGAAGCTGCATCTGCTTTATATACATCGAAATCAATCTTCAGGTCTGTGCAACTGTTCTGCAGGCTGTTGAGGAGGGAAAAATGGGAAAGCAAATCTATAGGTACAACATGATTTGGCAGGCTTTTCGGTGGAATTAAAGGAAAAGATGTGTTACACTAGGGTGTGGCTGGGACTTCTTGTAGGCATCAGAACCGGGACAAGGGACATGGCAGGATGCTGAAAGAGATAAACTACTGGAATCCACACTCTGGTCTATTCTCATTTCTGACAGTTTAACAACCATCACAAATATATTTCTTGCTCTTTCAACCATGCAGATCACTTTAAAAGTGATAGTTATGTTTCCTTGCAGCTCAAAGCCCCACTCCATCTCTCCAACCACTACACATAAGAAACTCCATTTGTGGAGCCAGAGTCAAGGACTAGATTCAGTCACACATGCCCAAACAGTAGGGCGTCCATCTGGGCATCATCCATCAGAAGCAGAATCAAAGGCTCAAGAATTTTAAGAGTTGAGGCATGGCCATCACCTAAAGCTGCAAGAGCATTCCTAGAAAGGATATGCATGCTGGAAAGGACTGGGGGTACGCATGTAAGTCTGACATGTAACTGAGATTTATCCCAATTCTATGGGAGGAAAAGGAAAGAAAAGACAACAGATTTATTAAGTGACACTGCATTTTGCCCAGGCAACTTGTGGCCCTCCAAAGTATTTAGGCGTAGAAGGATTGTTAGCTGTAGTTAAGAGGGCACTTGGAAACAGGTTGGATCTGAATGCTTTGCTTGCTGGACTGGGCCACTCACTATATGGTCCCTTGGTTGAGTCAGAACATGGGTTCTTCTGTAAGGATATGTCTGGCATGTCATGTATAGCATTCTTCTAAATCTGTTAGCTTCCACAGAACAGTTTCATTAAAATGTGGAATAAATATAAAGTATCTATACTATAATTGCTTATACCCCAGGACCACTGAGTAGTCGACCAGCTTTCTAGTTTGATACTTACCGAGATGCCTCATCCAGGATGTGTGAAGGCTGGAACACACTAATCTGTTGGAGGACATCAGCTTATGAAGAGAAAACAGGAGAGATCTGGATTAGAGGCATGTGGCATTGAAGCAAATTCTCTGTTCTGAGCAGTCAACTATTGTGGTGTACACCACTTTCAACAAGGTCTTGTGAATCTTCCACCACTTCTGCTGAGAGCAAGGGTGGGCAATTTGTGGATGTGCAGTTATTTTGGCCCAGAACCCATCATCCTTCACCACTGACTATGTAGGCTAGGACCGAGGAGAGTTGTGGGTCAAAACATCTGGAGAGGAAGAAATTGCTCCCCTCTGGCTTAAAGGATTTGCCAGGTAGAGCACATACTCTTTACAAACAGCGCCAAGATTATGTTGCAATAGAATGTAAATTCTGTATACAAAAATAAGTTGACAAATATGTATCTGTTTTCTTAAGTACAGGATGTTCTTCCACTTTAATTGTCCGAATAACAAAGGCATAAAAATGGATATGACAACAGGTAATAAAAAGGAAGAGAGTGCTGGAACCCCAAAGCAAGCTTTCCAGTGAGGCATGCCTGGGATGTTTTTTCTTTTGGGGCCAGGTTAAGACCGTCTTCTGCTTCCAGGGATTAGGCAGCATATAATGAAGTTTTTAATCGGGTCCTTTGATTTCTTATTATTGACTGTTAAAACTGTGTGTTTATGTGTGTGGGTATATGTGTGTTTATGGTGTCTGTTCATGTCTGTAAGGAAACTTATTATTTAGGAATGTATAAATGGAAACTTAATATATTTTTAGGAATGTAATCTTTCTAAAATGCCCAGAAAGCTTTGGCCATTGAGCAATACAGGAATGTAATGAATGAATATTAATGAAATTTATGAAGTTGTTGGGAAAAGAAGAAGCAGAAGTCCAGTTGCGTAACCCTGAATATAGTCAATTAGGCCCATACATCCCTGAGGATTAGTTGCAAAATAAAAGTGAGTCTGGATGTTAAGATCTGTTCCATTCCATGCTACTCTGTTTTGCAAGTGCAGAATATTTACCCAGCCCTGTATTTTAATGCAGCGCTACTGCTTGCAAAGCAAACATAGGAGCCATTCATAGCAAGGTGCAATCTCTGCCATGGCCCCAGGGCTTTCTGCAGAATCAGCTCATTGTGCAGCCTCCCTCACCTCTGCCATCTGCATTCTCATTTGCACACGCTATCAACACATCTTCCCTTAAGGCTTGACTTCAGCTGTGGGGATATTGCATTTTTCTAGGGCTGAAATAGGAAACTGCAGGCTTTTCACCCAGCCACTAAATTTAGTTCTAGGCAATTCTGTGGAAAGAAGTTGTGCCAGGAGTCCTCATCAGGAACCCTACCTGACTAGCAACAATCAACACCAGCCTTTTCCCAATGACGGCTGTTATAACCTCTTTTGTTTCTTCTAGTCTTGGCCAATTGTGTGTTGTTAATAAGTTCATCAACTTGAGATGCAACTGATAAAAGATGCCTCGGATTAGTTTCATATCCTCATGATCAGGGACAGCTGGGATGGGCAATCTGCAGCCCCTGGCCTAATTTTGTTTGCTAATTTTGAGGCTAGTTCAGTCCTCTTCTGGCAGGAGGGAGATGCAGAAGATGGTGTCATAATGAGGAGCGGGGGGGGGGGAGAAAAGAGAGGGTGCCCCCACCAGAAGATTCCTACCAAGGAAATGCAGCCCTTGATAGACAAAAAGGTTCTCTGCCCGCCCGCAGACCAGGAGCTAACAAAAGGATTCCCTCAACATGAAGCAAGCACAATTCTCATGTCACAGAAAACCTGGACAAGACTGGGCCATCCTAATCACTCTCTGTTCCTGCAAGGGGAAAAGTGGGTGGAGGGGGGAGAGGGGGAGAGGGGGAGGGGGGAGGGAGAGAGAGAGAGCGCGCGCGCGCGCACACCAGACAAGCCTGAATCTGACATTACATTGCTCTCTTTATTCTGGTTTTGTCATGAGTATAGCATTGTTTTGCATTGGGTCCACTGGACATTGTTCCTCGCAACTCCCATCTGCTCTAGCCAGCAATGCCAGTGGTGAGGAATAATGGGAGTTGCAGGTCAAACATCTGGAAGCCACATCCTGTCCACCTCTACCTATCAGAGGGAAGGGTTGCCTATATATATTTGAAGCCAAGCTTTATTTTTCCCTGTGAAGGTCAACTATCAAGCCCAACGTGAATTAAATAAGATCTCTTTCAAGGACAAAGCAGTCTAAGTAGCTTTATCTTCAAAAAAGAGCTGTCTCTCAAGAAGAAGGGCTCTCACCTTGTTAAACTGCCAGTATTCCCTAACATGAAGATACTTTTGCTAATTAGTAACAGGCAGCTCTGGCTTCATACAGGTTGGGATGACCCTTAGTTTGATACAAGCAAGCCTTTAATTAAGTAAGCGTATGTTGCTGACAGAGCTGGATGCCTTCATCTGCCCTTTATGCGTGAAGCCATGCCCACCGGTACCCCTAGCTATGATCCTGCCATGGTGCAGCTAGTAGCCCCCTGACAGAGGGGGCTGTCCATTCCATTCTCCCAAGGGAGTGTGCCCCCTTGCAGAGCAGAAGGGGCAACTGTCCCCTGCCACTCAGTTCAAAGTATTTCCACCACTATGCTGTGCACTGATAATTATGTCCTACCCTCTAATCACTAAAGATGCTGCTGCAGGCTCTATACATCCAGATACATTAAAATCCATGCATTTTAAAAACTAAATAGCCCTAAGGTGCACAAGTCTATGGTCCCCTTAGCATATATGCCAAGTTTCAGGTATCTAGGTTTCTCAATCCTTGTACTATGGTGCTGACAGACAGACACATCTTCTTTTAACATTATAGATACTTTATCCAGCCTTTCAGAAAACCAAAGATACCTGCATTTTTGTACCACTCAGCTATCTGGAGCACCAACTGAACTTAAGGACAGCAATTCAATCTGCGTGTAGGGCTTTCTGATCTGAAGTTCTGAGAGTCTAGGGTACCCCTTTCCTTGGGGAAGAGAAAAGCTGAACCATTCTCTTTGCCAGAAGGCCCATTACCTGTTGACAGCCCTTGTTCTGGCTTCACAAGAGGAGTGACTTCCTGTCCCCAGAGGTGAGCAGGGCAGGCTCTCGCCTTCCGCAGCCTCCTCCCTTCCAGAAGGGCCTTGTACTCTTGCCAGGTGGAGCAACGCCTGACCTCTTTGTCCTTGTTGATGCTGCTCTTGTACCGGCTCGCCCACTTCAGTTGCTCCCGCTCCTTGCGGGTGAGCTTCTCATGCTTCAGGTTGATCTTCCGCTGCCACCTGGTTGCATCAAACTCCCGTGCTGTTATGTTCTCTGGGAGTAGCCTCTTATCCGGCTCTGGCAGGATAAGTTGTAGGCAATCAGCACCCATGTTGGGGAAAACAATAGTGGTGAAGTCCCAACGGGAAGAGGTCTTGCTAGATCTCTCCTTCTCATCTTGAGTACCAGTGGGAGAGTCATCTTTTCTTGAGACACTGGATGATGGAACTGGCTCCACAAGAGCCTCTTTAGCATCAGATACCTCCATTCCTTCCCTGAGTGCACTATCTGATGATGGGGGACCAGAATCTTCATGATGCCTCCTGGCCCTTTTGGCTGACTCTTTGCATTCCTGAGATTCCTCAGATGCTTTCGATGTCTTGTCCTGCAACCTACCCAAACGCAAGAGAACTGAAATATGGCTTGACAATTTCTTTATGTGACAGCTTTTGCTATCACAGAATCATTAAAACACCTCATCAGAAAGGATCCATCTAGTCAACTGGCTTACCAAGTTACTTGATGCAAGAAATGTTGTATCTAGTTCCTGCACCTTTTAATGAAGGACACCAGCTCATAAAGCAAAAGGATAGGAGGTGGGGGTGAGGGATGGGGACCAAGAACAAATCCAATGCATTTCTCGGGACTCAAGAACCTGCCCACCTATGGTTAGCCTGCCAAGGGCATCTCTCCCAGTGTTTGCATGCTTTTACCGAGGGCTGGAACTCCTTTTCCTCTTGTGGTGGCTCCTCTCTTTACTTTGGCAGTGGCTGTCCAGATTCATCTGCCTCTCATAAGGTGTTGGAATGATGCTGCAGAATAGAAAGGGAAAAAAAGATCCAAAGAGATGGGGGACAGAGCAAAAATTCAACAGAACATCCAATTCAAAATCATTAACAGTGCTGAAGCAGCTACAAGCTGCACTAAAAAGCAAATGCTCTTTCTGCTTGGATATCACCTCTTCAGCTGATTTGTTCCCAAAACTATTGGAAATCAAAGAGGAAGTCAGGGAACAGCAGGCACTACGGTTCTAATGACCTGAAGGATGGCAAAGATGCATATTAATTTGGGAGGTACAGTCAGGCTGACCCTTAGGCAGGTGGCAGCTGCTGGGGGACCGGCTGCTGGGCAGCCTCATGGCTGTCGTCCTGAATTCCCCAGCCTTGATGTAAAGTCAGGATTATGTGCCACACCTTCTGTCCTGGGCCCTTTGAAAGAGCCTGCTGGTGATGGTTTCAACTGCTGGAGCAGCTGGCTTCACTTGGTGGGACAGTCAGGAAGCAAAACTTTTTGGGCTGGTCTCGGTAGCAAAGATGTTAAGAAGGGGAGGAGGAGGAAGCGTGCTTGGTTAAGGAGGAGCCAGAGAGAAATGAGAGCCATGGTGGGATGGGGACAAGGACCACTCTCAGATCGTTACCTTGGATGGAATCTCAGAACGATGTAACCCAGTCTCTTCAAGTGGCTGTACACCTTGAAACAGGGATGAGAAGCAAGGTGGCCATCTTAGAAAGGACACGACTGTGTCGTTTCTCCATCATGTGACCAATCTGGATTCGGCATTATCTGTGACTGAAAGCCATGCTACATAATACATGGTACACATGTGTGCCCTTCCCGGAGGATACACAAAAGAGGATGCTGAGACTAACCCCAGCATGACACATGCGCATCCCATGTTGTTACATGTTTGCATGCAAGCACATCACTTTTTAAAACACATTTTAAGAAACACCTTGTGAAGTGATCCTAGCTAATTTGCTTTGCAGCTTTCACAAAGAACAAACTAGGACATTGCCTCTGTGATCCTGTGCCCACTTACTTGGAGGTAAGGACCATTAAACACCATGGAACTTACTTCTGAATAGCTATACATAGGATTTCACTCTTTTGAAGATGTCAGAAAATCAGTGCTCCACATACTGTAGTACTTCTAAAAGCTAGAGATACTTATCCTTCTCACCTAAACATAAATCAGGCACAGTCATTGCTCAGTCAATCAGAAACGCCACCTATTTAGGAGCCCTTCTATCACCATCTATGCAAAGACTTTAACTTCCCACTATGGAGAAGAAAGGAATCGATGAATAGGCTTGGAGAGTAAACTGAGCTGCATTGTAAACCCTTTCTGAGTTAGAAGGGGCCAAGAAGGCCATCGGGTCCAACCCACTGCTGACGCAGGACACCAATTTACACCATCCCATAGGGGAACCATTATTTCTTCTGATAGTAATACTTCTATCAGTGCATCCCAAAATAGCACCTGCCCTTTTTGCAGCTGCATTGCATTGTTGGCTCATGTTTAGCCTGTTGTCCACAATACCTCCAAGGGCGTTTTCTTTTTCAGCTATATTGAGCCACGTATTCCCCATCTTGTAATGATGCAAGGTGGAGGATTTGGCATCCATCCCTACTGAATCTCATTTTGTTGCTTTTAGCCCACCCAGCATTCAAGTGTATCAAAATTGCCCTGGATCTTCATTCTGTCTTCCAAAGTGTTCCCTATTCCACCCTGTTTTGTATTGTCTGCAAATCTGATTATTCTTTCTTGTACTTCTGCATCTGTTTCATTAATACAGATGTTGAAGAGCACTGGGCTGAGGACTGAACCCTGTGGCACCCTGCTAATTACCTCCATCCATTTTGAGAAGTTGCCATTGATAAGCACTCTTTGTGTCTGATTTAGCAGCCAATTTTGGATCCATCTAATAGGCTTTCTACCTAGTCCACTTTTTGCTAGTTAGCTTATCAGGATGTCATGGGGCACTCTCACAAAAGCTTTGCTAAAATCGAGATAGATTATGTCCACAGTGTTTTTGCTGTCCATTTGGGAAGTTACCCAGTCAAAAAATGAGATTAAATTAGTCTGATAGGATTTATTCTTGATAAATCCATGTTGGATTTTACTAATCACTGCATGTGCTTTTTTCCAGGGATTGATGTCAGACTGACTGGTCTGTAGTTCCCCAGTTCATCTCTCCCCCACTCCCCCACCTTTATTTTGAAGATGGGAACAAAGTTAGCCCTTCTCTAGTCATCTGGCACTTCTGTTTTCCATGATTTGTCAAAGATAATAGACAGTGGTTCTGAGAGTTCCTCCGCCAGCTCTTTTAAGCCACTGTCTTAGATCAACGACAAGTCCATGGACAAACTAGGAAAACACTAACCTCCTTAATCCAAATTCAGCATGCTGACCACTGGTCTGTCTGGATGATCCAGCAGTGCCTAGGCTCGCATGCACATGGAAGAGACAGAGTCAAGTGCCCACCATTATCCCCCAAAGGCTAGCAAGCAAGCTATACTGGACCCTATTGGACCTCTGCCTCTATCCCTCTGTCAACGTGCTCCATCCTTTTATGGTAGGGCAACTTGTAAACTACTAGGCATTTTACCTGTAACTCCCATCAGCCCTAGATAGCATAGCCAATGGTAAAGAAAGGTGAAAGTTAAGGAGCCAAAATAGCAGGAGGACTACAAGTTGCCCTGTGCTACTTTCTGGAAAGCCAAGAGTACATCATACTCCTGACAAGAGCACTATATTCCTTGCAAGAAAAAGCCTGGGCTGGCAAGACTAAAGTTGTTTAACTTAATTCTAGGTCATTACCAAAGCTGTTTAATAAGCAGTCCAGCTTCAAATCCTGGTGGTATACATGCATTCTTCAATGCCAGAGTAACTGCAGCTCCAAATTATATGGTGACTCAGGACTGTTTGCTTTGGCTTGCTTTGGCCTAGCAGGCAACTCCCAATTTCAGAGGACTGCCAGATAACCCTCCAGTTACTGGAGGAACTGACAACTTCTCCTGCCCAGGCTGCGACAATCCCAAATGTTGGAGCAGCGCTGGCTGAAGCATTTTAGGATTCACTACTAAAGATGTGAAATGGGGGCTTTCGATACTTTTTCACCGACTAGAGTTAATTGCAGTAAATCCTAATACATACCTGGTACTTCAGAAGGCTGACCAGCTTCTGGGATACCAGGTTTTCATAGGCTTCCTGGATGGACATAGGTAAGTCTTTGTAAAACAGGTGAACAGATCCCTACAAGACAGAGGGTGAAAGTTAAGGCATTTCAGCCTGTGCAAAACCAGCTCCACCAATCACACTGTCATTCCCTATGGCCACAGGAGCCAGTCAATGCCAGCCCACCACTTAGGAGGTGATGCCAACTACTTTCCGTATGTTCAGAGCCATCACCCTGCTATTTTGGCCATGCTGGAATGTGCTATAATATCCAGTAGATCATTTTAAGTGCATTCCTCTCTATCAACAAGTGAGAGATTATGTTTCCATGTATTCTATGCACGTTCTTTCCCCACATCCCAATACTGTGTTCCAGATAATTATATATATCCGCTTAATGTATGTGGTTTCATAGTTTGGAACCTTTCCACAAAGTGCTAAAGGACCAAGGGAAAGCGATTCACTATATAAATCCCACTCCCTCCCCGCTTCCTCTTTCTATATATATCACCCATATAATTCATCAGCCTCCAAGTTTGGTCTGCTTACACATTCCAGAAGATACAGAGCTTCTTCTGGCAGAAGATACTGCTTTCCATTTTCTGCAAACCCCATTGTTTGCCAGAATTTCCCCTGCTGACAACAACAAAACAAGTGTTAGTTGTTGGGATTATCTCTGGCCCATGAACAAGTCTTGCCCCTTTAGAAATGTTTCCAAGAGGGTGAGACAAGACTCAACTCTTGGACTTTCCCCAGCTTGCCTTCCCTTTGAGATACAGCAATTGCACCGCCAACAGACTCAGGGCTGCAGGAGGAGGAGAACCTGACGGCTTTGGTCCAGCATATTAATTACAGGGGGAGTCCACCATTTTGGAAAGGCAATATAAGTTTTTGATGTGTGCAAGGGGCATGTGATTTCCCCCACATCTCTTTTTAAGCTTCCCCCACCTGCTTACTGATCCTCCGCTTAGATTTCTGCACCATGGCGCACGAGAGCACCTGAGTCTCCAGCTTTGTGCTGCTCAGATTCCTCAGGCTGCCTGTCCAAATTCAGTGCTTGGATTATTGCAAGGGTGCCATGGAGGGCCAACCCCCCTTAGCTACAGTCTTTGGAACAGTAGGGGGAATGATTTAGGCATACCTAGGAAGAGTCGGGTGGGGGGCTCATAGATTCCACTAAGTGCTCCTCATCTCTTCCCCTACCCCACCATCTGAGCACTGTGTTGGCCTGTCCCATCCAGAAAAACAGCTCTCCAAGGAGTACTCCAGATTCCAAACTTTACCCTGAGTAATGCAATGATTGCTTCAAAACACAACGGGACAAAAGCAATTTCTAGACCAAACAGTGCTAGAGAAAGATGATTAAATGTTAAGTCATACAAAGCTACCCACATCACAAAACGAAGCTCAGTGTTGGCTTTCTGAAGGGAAGCAGGGGTCCTGCTGGAGTTTCTTGCAGCTACAAGCAACATGCTCTGTGACAGTGAAGAGTGAAAAGAGAGATAGCAGGAAGTGCTAGTAAAAAAGAGACTGTGCCACTTACAGCAGGTGATTTCAGCTCCACAAGACCCTCCTGAGGCTTCCATTCAGCCTTCACTAGACTTCCCCTACAAAAGAATTTGTATGCTCCTTATCCTGTTTTCTTAACTGAAAAAAGGTTAAGAAACAATTTTCATCGTCACTGAAAGCACAACTTTCTCACCCTCTGCAAATAGGTAAAGGAAAAGCTCTTGCCATATAAAACTCCTACTATGTTTGCATTCAACCTTACCTTGCTACATACATAATAAAAGGCAAAGGATGCTTTCCCCCATCCTCTGGAGCCATTCTGTGTCCATACAGAGAAAGCTTAAGATGATTTGGGGAGAAGCCTTTCATTTTTGCTGATAGCATGACAGTGAGATAAAGTCCTGTTTCTTTGCTTCACTACATCATGGATGTGAAGTTTGGATCTGAAGTGACATCACTATGCATATGCCACGTGAATTAATTAATCCATTTTTGCTGCAGTGCAAAGTGCAACAACCCAAAGTTAACCTAACAACTAAGTATAAGTTAACTTACCTGGAGAGCACCAGGCTGGGGAAGTCTTGTTTAAGATAAAGACTCTTCTTCCAGCCCTGTTACCAGAACCATGGAAAAAACATAGCAAACTGCCTTATACTGACTCAAACCAGGGGCCCATCTAGCACAGTATTATCAGCACTGACTGGCAGCTGCTCTCCAGGGTTTGAGGAGGGAGTTCCCCCCCTTATCTGGAGATGCCGGGGGCTAAACCTGGAACACCCTGCATGCAGTGTGTCTGCCTACCACTTTGCTACAGGCCAAGCACTATACCAGGCAAGCTTCCTGCTGCTGCTTTCACGAAATACATACAATCGCGCCACACGCTCCTCCTCCAGAAGTCGCCAGTGCGCTTCTCGACCCTGACGCAGTCTTTCCTCCTGCTCTTCCGATCCATCAGGGATGAAGTCCTTCTGCCCATGAGAGCGCTGAGGGATCTTGTGATCACGTGTGCGGGCTGCAAGCAGTTCTTCTGCGCTGCAGCCAGAGGGGAAAAGCAGTGTCATTCCAAACCCAGCTCATCAACAGAGGAAGAGCCCTGCTGGATCAGGCCAAGCGCCTGTCTCATCTAGCATTTTTCTTCCCACTGGGGCCAACTATTGAATGCCCATGAGCAGGACAGGCCAGCAACGGCTTTCTTCCACCATTAAAGCTCAGTAACTTCTATTTATTTGTTTTTAAAGGATTTATACTGACATTCATTAAACATCTCATGATGGCTTACAAAAATATTTTTAAAACAATTAATTCAACAATAAAACACTATCCAGATGCATAGTGCATGATTGGGAGCCACTGACAGCTTTATCACCTGTTCAGCAAAAAAAGTCCTACAACTTCTAGCATGGATTTGTTTAAAGACATTATGATGCTGGCAATTTTTTTCCAATCCCTTTTCTAATGATTCCTAACACAGAATTCACCTTTTTCGCAACTGCCACAGGCTGGGCTAACATTCTAATGGAGCCATTTGCCACAATGGCAAGATCTCATTCCTGTCCTCTCACATCAGCTCTGACCCCATTTGTGTATATGTGGTTTGTATTTTTGCCCCAGTGTGTATCAGTTTACACTAGTAATACATTTTATCACTTTGCCATTTTATTGCATCTCCATCTTCTTTGGGGAGATCTTTGGGAACTCTTCTCAATCCCTTTCCGTTTTTGCCACCCTAAATATAAGTGCTAAACTTGAACAATTCAATGCTCTCCTCTAATTCCAAATAATGTATGAACAAGTTACAGAGCTTTGTAATACAGATCCTTGGGAGAGTTGTACTTCTTACTATGAGAGAACCATCCATTTATTCCTAATTTCTACTTCCTGTTCTTTAAGCAGTTAACAATCTATAGAAGGATCTGTTCTCATATCTCATGAGTGCGAAGTTTGCTTATTCTGGTTCCTGACTCCTAGCTGAGCAGATCAGAGGTAGCTGCCCCAGCAGGTGTAGGGACTCTGGCATACAAGCAGCCAAGCTATGGGAACTCTGGGGAGAAATGACCATGCCTTACTTGAATTCTCAATAATAAAGGAAGAGACAGCATCAGGAAGGTTAAAGTGATGAATGAACTGAAGCTAGTGAGGGGAGGTCTTTTTCAAGAAAGGTCTTTTTCAGTTGCACCCAAGACAAAAGACGGACAAAAGAGAAGGAAGTTCAACTACTCAGCATGGATGGAACAATGATAACAGATGACAAGGAAAAGACAGAAGTGCTCATCTCCTACTTGGCTCAGTCTTCTCCCAAAAGAACAACCACCTTCTGATGAAGGTGTAGTACAAGCTGAAGAGGCAGAATGGCAGCCCGAGACTGACAGGCAAATGGTCAAGGATCTTCTAATTGGGCTAAATGAGTTCAAACCCCCAGGGCCTGATAAACTTCACCCCAGAGTCATAAAAGATTTCTTCTAGAAGAAATCTCAGAACCACCATCTATAATTTTTGAGAATTCATGAAAGATAAGAGAAGTGCCAGATGACTGGAGAAGAGCTAATGTTGTCCCTATCTACAAGAAAGGGAAAAAAGATGAACCTGGGAACTATAGACAATCAGGCTGACATCAATTCCTGGAAAAATTCTAGAGCAAATTTTAAAACTAATAGTTCACAAACACCTTGATGACAATGCAGTAGTTACTAGAAGTCAACATGAATTTCCCAAGAACAAATCCTGCCAAACTAATCTAACTTCATTTTTTGACTGGGTAACCTCCCAAATGGACTGTGGGAATGCTGTGGACATAAAATATCTAGACCTTAGCAAAGCCCCTGACAAAGTTTCCCATAACAACCTGATTACCACAATAGCAAAAGGTGGACTAGATACTGCAACCATTAGGTGGATCCACAATTGCTTGCAAAATTGGTCTCAAAGAGTGCTCATCAATGACCCATTCTCAAACTGGGAGAGGTAACAAGTGGGGTACCACAGAGTTCTGTCCTGGGACCAGTACTGTTCAACATTTTAATTAATGATTTAGATGAGGGAGTACAAGGAAAGATAATTAAATTTGCAGATGACAAAAGCTGGATGGAATGGCAAATACCCTGGAAGACAGAGATAAGATACAGGGTGATCTCAATAGGTTAGAATGCTGGGCGGAGAACAACAGAATGAAATGCAAGAGGCACAAATGCCAAGTCCTCCACTTAGGAAAAAGAAATTAAATGCACCACTACAAGATGGGGAATATTTGGCTCAGCAATACTGCAAATGAGAAGGATCTTGGGGTTGAGTCAACAATGTGATGCAGCTGCAAAAAGGGAAAACACTATTTTGGGCTTCATTAACAGAAGTATCATTTCCAAAACATGCAAAGTACTAGTTCCCCTATACTCAGCATTAGTCACACCTCACCTAGAGTATTCTGTCCAGTTCTGGGCATCTAATTTAAAAAGAGATGCAGTAAAGCTAGAAAGGCTACAGAGGAGCACAACAAAGATGATTCAGGGGCTGGAGGCAACGCCCTGTGAGGAAAGTCTGAGTGAACTAGGCATGTTCAGTCATGGGTTGGCCATGACTAATTTACGTCTTACTCACTTAAAAAGTCTATATAGAACTAACAGTGCATACACCACCAGATATGTGCAACTTTAGGAAGATGCCTTATTATATAACAAGCGTGGGTACTCGAAACAAAGAGTACAAATGGAGGGGAGTACAAATGGGCCCAGCCCTCTTACCTTTACGACAGCCCCCAAGCTATGCTTGGCATGATCTGGCTAAAATCTGAGGGATCCAAAGGCCAGGATTAGGGGATACCATTAGGGATCAGTGCTGTAGTCAAGGTAGGCTCAGAGGTTTGCAGCACTGCCTTTCCTTTTATTAGGAGCACCGATGTCTTCTGCTGCCCACCCCAAGTGCTTCCTGTTTCCTCTGAGCTTCACTGCAATCCTGAAAGCAGTTTTGTGGGAGCAGGGATTAACTTTCCCAGAAACAATCCAGAATTGCAAACTGTTCTCCTTGTAATGCAAAGTATTTTGGGTGACCTGGTCTTGAACAGACAATTAGGATCCATTATCTCTACAAAAGACCTGCTCCAGGTAGAAATGAAATCTGAGATGAGAGCCAGTGTGGTGGTTCGAGCATTGGACTGTAGATCTGAAAGATCAGAGCTCTAGTCCCCACTAGGCTATGAAGCTGATTGGGTGGCTTTGGGCCAGTCCAGGCTTTTAGCCGTAGCTACTTCGCAAGTGGTTGTTGTTGTGAAAACAAAGCAGAGCCAAGTTGACTTGGATTCCTCACTAAAGGAAAAAAGGCGGGATTGTAATGTAAGAATACTAAGTGGCTTGCTTGATAAGGTTCCACACAGTGGCTTGCCTTTTCAAAACAACTTTTCTTGGGGTTGTCATGAATAACGCCTGCACTTCAACATTTACCCCTGCGTCAATGTTGGGGATCACCGTGAATCTCCCTTCCCTTTCCCCTTCCCGCAATAAGTGGAGCACGGTCTGGCGGAGGGAAGCACTGCCCTAATGTTGCCGGTTCAAACGCACTTCGGTGCAGTAAGTTCGGCTTCCGAGAGTCAGGCCTGCGCCAGCACGCTTCTGCGGGTGGTGGGCCCACCCGGCTGCAGCGAGCTCCCCGTCCCAAGCTGCACACGGACAGAACGGGACCCCGTTCTCCACTCGTGCCCACGTCCCCGGCTGCAGGCAGCAGCGGGGCGCTTCTTCGGGCACTTCCGGCACGATCTCAAGTTGTGTCGCCTCATCAAGGCGCTCGCTGCCCCACCCCGCACCCCGCGGGGCAGATCGGAGCAAGCGGCGGCCGCTTTAAACCCACTCTCGCCACCACGCCACGCACCTCCGCCCCGGGATACCTGAGCGGACGGGGGCCCGCGGAACACGGAACTTCGGACTCCATTGGAAGCACCACGTGTCTCCGCCCACCCGGCCCGCGAAGCTTTCTCGCTTCTCCCGCGGTCCTAGCGCCCTCAGGGCCTCGGCTTCCTCCGGGTCCTAATGCCCTCGTCTCTTCTCCCTCCTGCATATCTACCACACACAATAATAGCAGCTTCAGCTTCTGCAAAATGTTACGGAGTCAGGGACAAAGGACACCTAGAGTAATATGGGGGATTTTTTTCTGGCCAAACAGGAACCAGAGCCCAATCGGACCTGAGGTGTTAGATTGTGCCCGCGCCTTCCGGTAGCTTTTCCTTCAAAATATGTCAGGCAGCAGCATTAAGTACATAGCTTCGTCCTCCTCCAATTCTTATTATTATTCTTATTTATTTCGTTTTTTATAGCGCTCCACAGCTGATGCTTAATAGCGAAATGTGAAGTTTATCCACATCTAGTCTCAATGAGGCACTTGTGTGGCTTTTACAGCTTCACAAGCAGACAGACATTTTTATCACACTGTATCTTCGGGATGGAACTATCTCCACCTGTTGAATTGATAGTATATCACCCTATTAAAGGCAAAAATGCTCTATTATATAGGAGAATGTTTTTTTCTTGATAGCGTCTTGGCTGAATGCCTTTGGCAACGGTACACCCTAGACAGGCAAAAATTCAATGACTTTTTTCAAGCTATTTTACTGCCTAAGCAAACTTAGTTTTGTGCATCTTCTTCTGTGTGAGACCCTCATCCACCCCACACACATATATCAGGTGTTTCAAGCATGTGAGGCCCTATGTATATATTATTAGAGTGACCTTTATAGCCTCCATGTAAGGTAGGATCTCAGCCTCATATTACATACAGGAGCTTTGGACTGTAAAGTCATCTAATCAGTTGATAGCTGAAGTGAGCTTCAAACCAAGGGCTTCTGAGATTGTACACTGA